CTTACCTTCTTGACTGAGTAAGCAAGAGACAATGTCACAGCTAGTGGTAATCCTTCTGGTACAGCCACTACCAACACGGTCACTCCGATGATGAGGAAGTTGATGAAGTGTTGGAAATCAGCAAGGGAGAACGACTTCTCTTCGATGGCATATCGGGAGATGCAGAAGCGAATGACGAGGATAAGTACAGTGCACCCAGCAACAAACGATCCTAAAGATAATAATTCAACAGTCTTCGAATTTGTAAGTTCAGCCATCATTTTCCTCAAATTTAACTAATAATCATGATTCGATATCTGACAGTTGACAGTGTCCTTGCGTTCAAGAAAATATGAGTAAGAAATGACCATTGTGTACAAGACTAAAAATCTGCAAATGTTTTCCCGCGCAGAGTCGGCATCGCAGACACAGTGATATCTCGCGCAATTGTTGTCGGTCCCCCAAAAACACCATACATTTCTGACTGCATTCACTGCTGATGTAAACTTTTTATAAATATCTGTCCAAATGCTGATGGCTCCTTTTCCACCAAAGAAGATTTTTTCGTCTTCAACGCGAATAATTCTTTGCCAGACATTTCTTAAAGATGTAAATAACTCAAAAAGCGACTAACATGCGCGAGTGTTCTTGAAAAAAACACGATGAAAGTGATTAAGTACAACATTTTTCAGAGATTTTGTGTTTCAAATTTCTCAGCTGGTAGTACCAAAAAAGAAAGTCTTTTAAGTTTACATCTCACAAGTACTTTGGGATTTATAAAACTTGATTTAAATATTATTATTAGTTCAAACTACTCGGAATCATCAAAGCCCCACAACTCACCAGCATAGCCAATCTGTATAGCAAGTCGTGTGAGCTTAGCTTGTAGGACAGATCGTTCTTTTTTGCCGTTCTCTTCGGCAACTACTTTTCCATTCGCCACACCATCTGCACCATCTGCTTTCACATCTGAAAAATTGCATATGTTCGCTCGTCCACCTTCTACCATAACGGTGAAGAAGTCGTTGAAGTCGTGAGGTGGAAGAAGAAATTGGTCGAAGGGTGAGCGAAGAAAGTGTGATACGGTAGCCTTGTCGTATGCAAGAAAATAGAGACAGTTCCTGTTGAGTTTGCAAATCTGTCAATAAAGGGAAGAAATTGCAGGAAAGTTGGTTATTTGCTTTTGTTGGATCATTTTCCCATAATCTGAAATTTTTAAACAGATACGAAAAACTGGACAATTTAGACGTGTACAA